TCCCTTTTTCCAAACCAAATGTTTAATTTTTTCTTTTTTATGTTGTTTCTTTGTGCAAATGCCAGTCTCTGGTAGCGTGGTTTTAAGTAAATAAAATAACTTCCAATGCTACTCTTAACGATTATATTGAGTTTGACAATGAAATCTGTACATCACGCTTTCCTACAGAAGACGATATGGTTGAGCACTATAGCTCTAAATTACTGGATCCAATTCTAAGTGCAACGAAAAGTGATGATGAGGGTTCGGTGGGTGTAAGTGTGCATCAGCCTTCCAAGAATGAAGTAGAATACTCATTCAAAATTCTAAATTTATATTTGCAATCGAATGATACTCTGTTACAACTGATGATCACAATAAGAGTTTGAATAAAGTGAAATCTCTTTTTACTGAAAATAACAAAAAAATTAAAGTCCCAAATACTAATTTCTGAATATTTTACTTCACTATAACTTCTGTACTTTATTTGATTGCAAATAAAAAAATATCTTAAAGTGTCATTCTATTTTCTTTAAAAAATAAAAAAAAAAAAATATTCTCTAACTCGAAGTCTCCATAAGTCAAACCTTTTCTTTGCAAAATTGGACTTCAAGTTATGGAAGTTTGACTGTAATTAATATAAATCGTTTGCGGACAAAATACTAATAAACTTTTGGTAAAAACTATTGATCACAAATCATAGATCAAAATTAATTAACAACTTACAATATTTAGAACAGAATTTCACAAACTGTTACAAATATAGAGCACCTTTCAAAATAGAAATTTTGTCCCATAGTTATGAAAGGTGTCCTAACAAAGCATTGTAAACTAAAATACCACCTTACGAGACTGGGGATATATATATATGCAAACTGTAGATTCTGCGAAGAGAATGAGGAGACAGCCATACATGTGCTGTTAGAATGCCCTGCGCTAATCCACATATGGAATTGACTCCTAAGAATGTATATTCTTACGGGAAAGGCAATAAAGTAGGTTCTATACTACTATTTATTGACGCAACGGGGCTTAGATGTATATCTCTAAACCACGAAGGGAGCTTCAATAGACCCTACGATCGCAGTTTCATATCCCTTAACAATAATAATAATAATATAAAAGATTTAGTTAATAATGATAATCATAACTTTTTGCGGAGTGCATCCAATTGTATTTAGAAGTACCAAGTACACTACGGAGTATTCTTTAAGAAACTCTGGTTTAAAGTCAATACAATCAGTGTTACTTGAATTCGACTTCTACACAATAAAAAAACCGAAGTCAGAATAAAATATATAGGTGAAACATGTTAATTTACCTTTTTATGAGAGACTCTTTTACTTAGTTCCTCTTCAAAAAAAAGATTAGTCCTTTGCGTCAGTTTTATTCATATTCGTGCCTATTGTTGTATTCTAACATAAGACCACTTTATGACAAAACTGAAAAAAGTAGTAATAGAAATCCCCATTTAAAAATCACCAAGTAAACTGTAAATGTCAATAGTAAAGGAAATTATCTAACACAGTCTCAGACAAACTACTCATACTGAGTACGAAATATTTCAGATAGTTTCTTAACATAACCTAATTGAAACATAACCTATTTACATACCATCCCTCCCGATCCCTCCGTATATTTTATTAAGACGTTTAAAAGTTTTATATTAGTAAACACAGTTTTAGTTAAAGAATTAAATGTTTATTAAATAATTTAGATTGGTTTTAACTCTTAAAATTATGTTTTAATAATTAATTGTTAATACTACCAATTTTATCAACAAGTTTTTTGATTTTCACCGGGATTTGATCATTGAAAACGATCGGTAAAAATCAAAACATTTAATATGTTTTAAGAAACTGCATACCATGTGCTTCGGGAATGTCCGGCATTGATGCACAAGCGGAAGTAATATCTAGGAGGGTATTTGATATAACATAAAGATTCAAGACTAGGAAAGGTAGACTCTATACTGTATTTCATTAAAGAAATCGGACTTGGAGAAACACTTTAACCCGAGTAAGGGGCACAATAGACCTTTTAGGTCACACTGCCTAATCCCTTCTTTTAATAATTATAATAATAATATGTTTTATTAATTTTAATTCTTAAAAATCTTCTTAATGATATATCGGCTTTGGCATATTACTCCCTCTAAAATCAAAATGCGTATTGCAAGAATAACGAGTAGTGTAGTAGTAACTAGGTAACACATATGTGGTACGTTTACGTCAGATGCCTAAGATTTTAATCAGTTCATTTAATAAACCTTATAGACCCAATTACTATAAAATACCTGAGCGAATGATGCCAATCTCAAAATTTCGGCATACATCCATCTATCGTACATACGATTTGCCATTGTTAAGCGATACAGAAAACGTTTGTAAATGGATACAGATTCTATTGGGTCTATATTTATGAGACCAAATCGTCCAGAAGGGATTTTAAATTCAATTATAGCTACTCGACTATGTTAGTGAGTCTTTGATCTTTGCACGAAGTGTGGGTTTTAGCCCAAATATTGTAGTTCATTTAAATGTCAGGCTATATATCTGTTATCTAGAGATTAATTACATTAATTACTTTAACTTACTCTTAAAAAAATATTCATATGTACATATCAAGACATTATTGATTTGATTAATTACTCTTTTACCGGACATTGTTTAAAATCAATGATCGGCTTGTCAATCTTGGTGTGATCGAGCAAACAGTAAGCTTCCTCACAACTACGAGACACCATTGAGAAGTCGAAACCGGTGACTTAAATAAAAAACTTGAAATAGAAAGTGAAACGAGTAATAAATAAAAAATTTTAATTTTCAATAAAAAAAAAACAATAGCGATGCGTTTTTGGCGATAACAACTTTTTTATGTTGTACTTTTCAAGGTTACGACTGCTCGAAATTTAAAAAAAAAATTATGGAATAATTATTATGGAAGCGCACGCACGCGTCTCAATGGGTCAAGCTATTGGCAAGTACGTATGTGATTCACCTGCTTATTTCTGTTAACCTAAATAACTGCGAAATTCAGTGAATCGCATGCATGCCACGCCCCTGGCCACACAATTGAGTGTTTTGAATAATTGAACAAAATTTGTTTAACATCATTTTAATGGTCATAAATCTTGAAGATATATAATTGGTCTTTTGTTTTGGGTTTGTTTTGCATATTTTTGGCAAACATTTGGAAACGGTTGGGATTCCTAGTTTTGATTAAATTAACCGGTAGATTATTTGACCGGCATTAGGGGTCAACAGGTCTACACTTGTTATGGAATGGACTATATGTTTATAATGGAATTTAAAATCAATTTTTGTTTTTTTTTTAATAAACAAATCGAAGAGGCGGCAGCTGCATTTGTGAACAATCTGCAGACACGCCTTATTTTACTACAGGGTCACATGAAGTCTCATGTGATGGCTTGAATATGGTATGCCAACCTTATAAGCTCTTCAAGACAAAATATAAAAGAATATATTATTATTTATTTTATTTGTAAATACAAAAATTTTTTAGTTCAACCAGTAAACAAATACTGAATGGCAAATTTTATGGAGCATAACCATCAATGCCAATTTTAAATGGATTATGCAGTATATTCGCTTATAATTTTTAAGCTCTCCATTATAAATGTTTATCATATCTGCTCTTAATATTTCATATAAACTTATTTATAATAATTTTATATTGTCTTATAATACGAGTGTTAACATATATGTTTTGTTTTGTCAATTTGTTGAAACAGAAATTTTGTTTATATTGATAAATAGTTTTTATTTACATTTATATTAATATTTATAATAATTTATTTTTTATTTCAATATGTGGACTTTTGTCGATAGTCGTTATCACAAAACATATTTGTCTTATTGTTATTATTGTAACCCGAGTATTTTGCAAAAAACATGGAAGGAATTACAAAATACGAATGTATATGTTGGTTTCAACAACGGTCGGGTCTACATCCCGGATCCACTCGTCGCCAGCGAAGGGATTTCACAAGCAAGTCCCAGCGGGTCACAACAACAACATCACATGTGTAAGGATATGAATTAGAGAAGAAGATTGGTTTTTTGCAATAAGAAATGAATGAGAGGTGGGTAATACCAAGAGCGACCCGGAATACGCTTTAGAGCCACTCATTAACTAGGACCATCAAACATCGTTTCCAACAGAGACTACAATAGACTTCTTTTACCTAACCATATTTGAACTCATGTTCACATTTTTGGTCGCCAAAAGCTAACACAATAGCAAGTTTTTGTTTAGTATATATCATTTATATTTAATGTGATCGAATGGACAGACCTATATATAGGTATGCAAATAACACAGCTTCTTAACTGTTAAGTTAAATAGTGACATAGTCTTAAACCAGTGTTTCTCACACCACTTATAGTTTTAAAAAAGTATTATCTACCTTAGCCCCTCTTCAATAGTTAATTCTGTCTATGTATTATATATCTTACTTTAATTTTATATTTTAAACTTGTAGTTTTAAAAAAGTATTATCTACCTTAGCCCTTCTTCAATAGTTAGTTCTCTCTATATATTACATATCTTACTTTAATTTTATATTTTAAACTAATAGTTTTAAAAAAGTATTATCTACCTTAGCCCCTCTACAATAGTTTATTCTGTCTATATATTCTATATCTTCCTTTAATTTTATATTTTAAACTTATAGTTTTAAAAAAGTATTATTTACCTTAGCCCCTCTTTAATAGTTAATTCTCTCTATATATTACATATCTTACTTTAATTTTATATTTTAAACTTGTAGTTTTAAAAAAGTATTATCTACCTTACCCCTTATCTACGTTACTTCAATAGTTAATTCTGTCTATATTATTACATATCTTACTTTAATTTTATATTTTAATCTTATAGTTTTAAAAAAAGTATTATCTATCTTACCCCCTCTACAATAGTTAATACTGTCTATATATATACCTTACTTTAATTTCTTCAGTTTTCAATTTAATAACTTTATTTTTTTTTATTGCTTTCAGCCGTCATCACGTCCCGAGTCTGATTTTACATTAGACCTACCCCGTGCCGAACAATTACGAATAAAAATGGAGAAGGAAAAGAAATTCCGTCAAAGATGTCGCTACATAACCACATTTCTAAGTCTAGTGTTCTTCTTACTGACCGTAATGGTGGTTAGTCTGGTACTAACGCGTGGGAAACGCATGTTCGGCAGCATGATCTGATTACATATAACATATAAATATATATAAGCAATTAAGTGTAAAATTATTGTATATTTAGTTGTAATTAATTAATATTACTTATTGTAAAGTTTGAAACTAAAGTAAACATATTTAACAAATAGTACAACGAAATTTCTTTTGAACAAGATATACAACGCAGTGCCGTACTTTTATTTTATTTTATTTAAAACAAAAAAAAAACAAAAAAAATCTAAATATCGTTCACACAACGAAGTCTCGAATCCTTTCTAAGTAAAAGTAAATAATTTGTTAAAAATTTAAACTATATGAGTATATAATGTATGTATGTATGTTTGCATGGAAGCAGTATTGTTTAATAAATTATTTTCTCATTTTTATTTTTTGTGATGCTAGTTTTTAAGTTAAAACTCTCTCTTCATTTTTAGTTTCTTTTAAATAGTTCTTATAAATATAAAATATATAATTGTTACTCGTATGTTAATAAATGTTCAAGATATGTTAATTAAAAAAAAATAATAATAATAATAATGCATTAAACAAATGATAGTCTTAATTTAATACGGAAAAAAAATAATTTAGAATATTAATAATTAATAAAATATATTGTTAAAAAACAAATTAAAATTTAGTTTTTTTATAACTATTTTTAAATAAAAAACAAAATAAGACAGAACTTCATTTTTTTATAATACAAATAACTTCTTAGAAGCCCTTACGGTCTAAGGACCTACAGTTAACTTCCTATATTTTCATACCGAAAAATCAATACCTTAAGTTTTTTAGAAATTTAAATAATTAAAATAATTATTAAACGAATGTTTAATATTTTTAAATATATTTCATATTTTGACTCTCCTTGAGAATCATCATTAGGATCAGGATCTAAAATTATTAAACATAAATTAATATTAATAAAATCCACCTTCTGCTCAAAAAGTATCCGGATTTTGTTGTTTGTTACCTACTCCTTAAGTAATAGACCTTTTTCAAAAAATTTTTATTTATTATGTTGGTACACCCTTTCTTGACATATGGTACAAATTTGAGCGCCATCTGTCAATTAGTTTGTTTACAGCAGCTGTTAATGTGAAACTACCTCAAGTGCATTTAGCGATTTTTACTATGCAAAATTCTTGTTGTACGCGATTTTTTGACCAAACATGGCACCACTGTCATCGCTCAGGCACCATATTCTCCAGATCTGGATCAGTACGATTTTTTCCTGTTCCCAAAACTCAAATTGCCCCTCTGTGGTAAGCGTTTTGAGTCGATTGAATCAGTAAAAGAGAATTCGCTGAAGGAACTAAAAGCCATACCTTCACGGACCTACGAAAAGTATATGGAAGATTGGGTTAAGCGTTGGCTTAACGATATGTGTATCGCTTCAGAAAGAGCATATTTTGAAGGAAATAAAATAAATTTGGAATAATATTTAAATTTGTGTGTTTTATTTACAAAATCCGAGTACTTTTTGAGCAGAAGGTATATCCAAACATCATGTTCTTGATTCGGTTGTCTATATTGCAGAGAGATGATAACTCTCAAGGAGAGTTCAAAATATAGAATATTTTAATTTTAATTTTAACAAAAAGATGACCTGTAGCTGGGTATAAGATATATAAAAAAAGCATTATTAAAAACCAGATGGAAAAACAAAAATTCGAAAATTAAATATTTAGAGACCTTTATGTATATCTTGAACGCAGTGATTAGTTACACTCTAGTACACCCTAGGTTATAACAAACATACGTCGTATATTTTGTCAAGATCTGTCTCGATTACTATAAAAGTATTTAGATTTTATGCTAACATAAACCTTATCAAGCTTAATCCAAATTTATGAAGTCTTTAAAGAAACAATAAGTAAGAAACAATTAAGCACATATTATAAAGACATTTTTAGATATAAAGACAAAATTTCATTGCAGAATACATTTTTTAAAAGGAAAGATAAAATATCTAACACTTAAAGTTTCAGGAAAACTAGACTTAAGAAATGTGGATTTATATGCTAATTTATGCCTTGATCGCAGCCTTAACACACTAATGGAAACATAAATCCAATTTAAACATATGTTTTATATATTAGTTTGTTATAAAAATGGGCACACATTTGGAAGATATTTTTCAAGAACTCGCTGGCAACGCCTATACTATAAACCCTACTAATGTGTTTTTTTATACAAAATAATTTTTATTTAGTTTTTATTTAGTAATGTACATTTCTAATATAAGAATAGATAAATTTTTTTGAGAAACTAAAACTACATAAGTCCTCTTTTCGAATATAAGAATAGACAAGTTTTTTTGAGAAACTGAAACTGCATAAGTTCTCATACATCTCCGATCTTTCGAATATAAGTTTGGGCTTTTGGAATAGTTAAAATTCTGTGGATTAGCTGACTTACTGCGTTATTTTAAAGTAAGAAACTTTTAATAGTAATTAAGTTTCTAGATATAGAAGCCTATAAGTTATTTGATATATATGGTATATAGTGATACAAACTCCCTGTAATTAAATTCTAAAGCTAAGAAGATACATGAAATATCTTTATAACTTCGATCTCTTATTGTACATTACGGATGAAAACATTTTCATTAATTAAATTAAAAAAGAGATAACTAAGATTATTATATGAAATACATTGCATATATATTGAAAGTTTTATATTTCACAAAACTACATATTAAAAATTCAAAATTTGTACAAACTAATAGATATTTCCTACATCTTTACTACTTAAATATAACTTAGAGTATAATTGCGATGGAATGATGCACAGAAGATTCTGCTTAATAAAAGAAATTAATAAAAGAAATATATAACAATTGTTTTAATAAAATAACGACTATGATATACACCGAGTAGCTTCAAATACAATTACAGAACACAATATTATCTGCACTTTCTCCCAGAGAAGTATAAGGTCAGTGCTATAGAGCAGGGTTGTCCAGAACATTTACGATCGCGGGCTAATACAAATCACTATACGTTCATAATTTTACCGAAGAAAAAAATTTAGTTTTATTGTTTCTTCATTAAAATATCTTTTACAACTCTATCAATATCAACATTATTAATATTAGTAGTTGTCATACAAAAAATTTCTTATTTTTATACCTTATGGCACTGGGTACGAGTTTTTGGAACCAGTTGTACAAAGAAATATATACCAACGTCTTTGAAAATTTAGTAAATGAACGTTAAGTGTAATAAATTATTTAAAACGTTTTAATTTATTTATTTAAGATACTACAAAAATAATATAATGTAATGTTACCAAAATATAACAAATAAAAATTAGCTGAATTGTGGTAAATCAGAAATATCTCGCGGACCCCATAAAGAATAGCCGCGGGCAGCATAAGACTTGTACACCTTGATTTGGATAGCCCCGATATAGAATATTTGACTGATTTACCAAAAATCAAAAATCAATGACTTCATATATATGTGAGATTCATCTACAGAGTCAATCATAATTTACTGAGTGTACAAAATTACACGATCTTTTTTTGAGAATATGATATACTATTTTTAACAAAAGAGGAGCTTTCTACAAAACCTCTATTACTTTAAATCACATATTCACATTTGTATCGAATGTACAGGGTAAAGTTAAATACGACTCAGTCAAAATAGACTGATGAATAGATCTATTTATTTATCTAAACTATCTCAATTTTAGTTTTAATAAATCGATACTATATCTAATTAGTGCTGTGGCTAGTACTAGTAAAATGGGAAAATGAACCCACACCCATTCTTTTTTTACTTCTATCCTATAACTGTTTATTTTTCAGAAACTTTCACATTGTGCAAAATTTATTATCTTTGTATGTTTCCTTTTCAGGTCCATTTGAGCTACAACAACAGCATGAGAAGAATGAGAACCAAATATCTTATTGTCCGGTGATAGTACGTAAAGAAGTAATAATATAGATCAAAACAAAAATAAGTTCACAGTTATTGTGTCGGGGGATTGTTTTGTTGTTGTTGTAATCCGCTTGGACCTGCTTGTGAAGGAGGTGTTGAACGGCCGTTCTTAGAAACTTAGGAGTTGTTTTAGTACAAAACACTGTTAAATATTTAAAAACTTGAAAAGATTTTTAATAAATATATTAATATTGTTAAATACGGCCAAATCAAAATAAACACTTATAAAATTAAATTATTTTTAATTTATTTTTTTATTATATATTTAAAGATATACAAATCAGAGTTTAAAAGCTCTTTGTAAAGATTTTGAATGCAATAAATAATATTTAATACAACAATAAAAAATTACCACAAATATTCAAATTGCAACAAAAAAAATTATAATAAAAAAAGTCTGAAAATAAGAGAGCATGCGCTATTCCAAACTCTCGATAATAAATCTTGTTTAGTCATATAAGAAAACTGTAAGCCTAATTAATTATTTAATAAAACAATTAATTTTCACTAATCCTTTGCTAAAACAAAAAATATGGAAAACGAAGGGTGGCATATAAAAAAAAGGTTGTGGGTTCCAAGCGAAGCACTGCCGCCATAGTGGACCCTTAGTGACAAAAAAAAAGAACAGTGGCTTAATTCACATAAAAAACTTTAAGCCAATAATCTAAACTTAACAATTTTATTTTTCACAGTATTAAAATTATTTAAAAACAGATTTTTTCTTATAACCAAATACTTTCTATATCTATCAATTTTTATGAAATTATGTATAAAATTGAAAATTTCCACTTACATTTTCTTGCGCTCAAGAATCGGCTCGCCAAAAAATTTGAAATTCAGCAATAAACGTGATATAATAACAAAATAATATTACTACTGTTGAAGAAATAAATAATTTTAATTGATTGATTTTTGTACTATAAACAATTTTAATTAAAATGTTCAATCAATAACAATTTATTCAAAATTTCACGCAATTTTCGTTGATGATGATGTTTATTGAGAACTACAGTTATAAAGTGTTGTGAAGTGTGAAAACTAAAAATTTTAAATATAAGCTTTATTATAGGGCTGCCATATTGCATCTAAAATTAATATTTGTTACAATTGCTTCATACACTAATACTGGATTCAATTGAGAGTCTTATATATAATTTTAGCTGTCATGTTTGTAATTTTAGGTGTGAATTGTTGAATCCAATATAAAACTTGTGTTAATAACACACTCACTATAAACTACAACTAAAAGTAATATTTATTTTAATATATAAAAACGTTAGTTGAACTTGTTTTTAAAGTTTTTAGAGATTTTTTTTGGATTAATACAGATTTTTTATACACAGAATGAAAATAAATACAAGTTATGTATAATTAATAATTAAATATTAGTATAATTAAATATTTCGACATTTTCTGTAAATATAATTGCATGTGTATACCAATGTGAAAATTTTGAAATAATATCGCGGAATTTGTAATCACATATCAGAAAAAGCAAATACTTAAATGCAGTTCCTAATCAAATAAATTATTGCAATTTCAATATCAATCATACTATACCTAAAGTAATAAAACTCACAAAATGTATTATGACACACAATTAATTTAGTTTAAAGAGCACTTAACTTTGATATTAATTATGTAAACACTTTAGACATCTTAATTAAACCAATTTATTATAAAATTAAATATTGTGCAATGATACAAAATTATAGGTATATCAGAACATAGTAAAAATAATAAACATTAAATTAAATACAATACGCAGTAATTTATTGTTTATATATGTTTATATGTTTTTAAGACCTATTGTAAGGATGCTCCGCCCTAAGGAAGAAGTAAATAAATTTCGATACGTTGGAGATGTTTATATAGACTGCTTTAAAATAGTAAAAAGAAAATAAAAACTAATTTATCAGCTTTTATTTTATTTTTTACTTTTATCTTATTTACGTAAACCTTTTCTAAAACAGCAAAATATATTAGGTCTGTTCTACGAGCTACTCATAGTAAAACATGAGTAAAACAGAAGTAAAATTTACACAAAAATACTTGAAAATTTGCTGGTGGAACGCGCTTGTGTATACACAGTGTTTACTCAAAGTTACTATGAGTAGCTCGTGGAACAGACCTATTATATATCAATAGCTAAAGACAAAAACTAATAATGTATGGAAATACAACAGTAGACCAACCAGCTTACAATTTTTATACGGTATGCTAAACTCGTGCTCAATAGCTACCATTAAAGTATTAAATTTGTGTGCAGGATCTCAAAATTTCGTGCTCTTATTCTTCCATATTTTGCTCCAGTTTATATATTTTTTAATATACGACATTGAGAGATTGAAACAAAAATTTTTAATTTTTAATCTCCTCCAGAAAAAAATTTTTTTTGTAAATCTAAAATTTAACAACTAGATTTAATGTAATCACGCTTGCTTGGTACAAACGTATATAGCAATTCGAACCTCAAGAACGGCCATATGTTTAGGCCGTGTTCGAGTTCGAGTAAATTAATGACAAATTGAGGAAAATAATGAATTATGTCGGTATGGCAGCGATGTTGGTATTTAACACAGTTTCGAGTAGGGTAAATTAGATAAAAATAATAAATAATAAAATTTTATAAAATGTTTAATAAATAAACTAATTTAAAAACTTGTAACCAAAAATAATAAATAAGTGTAATAAATAAATAAAAAATTATTTACATAAGTGCAATGCAAAAAATCCCTAGGAATTTTCAATTTACTTTACCTCAATTAACTCGAACTCGCACACGGCCTTAATCGTCTATTACTAATTTAATTCTTAAGAAATAACTTTCAACATTTTTAAATAAACAGCGTTTCCTGCAAATGTTTCATTAACCACCATTCCGCAAGTAGATTATTTCATAGGAGAGAGATAACAAATAAAAATAAAACACAAATAACGACACCGCACAGGCAAAGAGCAGAGAAAGTGAATTTGCTTTAGTCAATAAATAAAATTGTTTTGATTTAAACATTACGACTAAATGATAAGAATTACATACTTTTAAACAAATTTAAATTGAAGTATACATGCGTGGTCCACTAAATTCATTTGTGTGTGTGTGGCTCGTGTTGTGCTTTACAATTGCACAAGCTGGGCAACATGACACATCAGCTGGCAGCGTAGTGAAAAAGGATTTAAATTTAAATGCAACCCGTCATGTAGCAGATCCTGCAGCAGCACCGCAAGATACCAAAGTGGTTATTATCAGTGAGAAGACTCCTGCAGAGCTTCAAGCGGTCAAGCAAAAAGTTGCTGACGAAAATAATGACAAAAATGCAAATAATGTACCTGCATTACCATCGTCAGTGGCCGACAATAACGTAAAAGTCGAAGAAAGAAACTTCAAGCAAACAATTTTCCAAGTTGACTCTGACATGCCGGATTCATTTAAAGCAGGATTTTATGTATTTCTTGCACTAAGTTGTGGAGCTGTTATGTTTATAGTTTTTAAAGTCTACAGGTATGTTTACATTGTGATTACTACACGCTTTCTTATGTTTAGCCGGAAAGTATTTCCATTTTGGGAAACATAAGAGTAGAATCTGTTAATAAAAAGTAAAAAATTAATAAATGTCATCATTATTTATTTAGAATGCGATTGTCACGTGCTGAACGGAAATATGGTGTGCAAGGCGATCGTTCAACACAGGAACTTACGCCTTTACCAATTGAAATCGAGGATGGTAACAGCGACGATGAGGATCAAACACTCTTCGATCGCCAACAGATACGAATATTATGAAAGTTTTTTTGATTCCTATGTATGCCAATCTACGTTTGTCTCCAATAAGATAATTTTTTACAATTTATAAATGTTGCCGCAGTTATTTGCATTTTCTTCAAATGAAAATGGTTCTCAGTCTTGCCTCATAGCTAATTTTGATGTAAGTAAGAATTAAACCAATGGCATGCATAGCTGCCGTTCACATTTTTATTGATATTTTATTTTTAAAAATAACGTAAAAAAAAACAAACTCGTCTATATTATAAAAAACCTAATTTATTATTAAACATTAAAAAATTCTATTTATATATAATGCAGTATATATATTTATTTTGTTATATTGTAAAAATGTTTGTGATACTAATGAAAAATCTAAAGCGTAATAATTAAATGAATATAAATAACTTGAGTAAGTTAAACTTTTATGTATAAGTGAATAGAAAATGATGATTTCTATAAATGTGTCTAAAATTTCAAATAAAGTATTTATTTAATTCTAAAATATTTATGAAGTTTTCGTAATTAATTTTTATTATAACATTAAATTAAAATATATATTTATTTATTGTACTATAGAGGTATTTACGATCTCGAGCAATGAGGAGGTCTGTAATCGAGTAACATGAGACAACATCGAGACTGTAAAGTACCAAAAACATAAAGAGTTTGTTCTAACTGAATCGATTTTTATCACGGGACTCAGTTTCAGAGCTTATTACTCTTCATAGTGTCCATTTTTCTATCTAATAGTGAACATATTTTTTATATTATCTTTATCATAACCCTTTAAGTATTTTCTTTAGAAATATTATAGTAGTATGTGTTATTTCATCATGCATAAAATTATTTCAATCGAAGTTATCAAAGTACCTAATTGTTTTGGATGGTTCTGGCGTGTAGTTTCAGCTTCTCATTTATCATCGTAATGCAGGTTGTGACCAATGGGAGAACAGACTAAATGCTATTCCAAGGAAACCTCATGTTCTTAATATGAGTGATAGATAAATTAATAATTAAGAATTTGAATCTCAAGATTCTTTATAGATTCTCAACCTTCATGTGCTGTAATTGATGCTAATGGCAATGTTAAAAATCATTTTTCATAAAGACAGATTTAATACTGTTGCTGAGTGATATTATATATATACTTAGGCATCTGCTTACACTCAAATAAACTAAAATTCTATTTCACAATCATAATTTAAGTCACAATACAGACTTAAAACATGCTTAAGTCATCAACTTTACGATTGTAACATTTAGAAGAGTGATTTATACTTACTTCTGTATGATATTTAGGTCAGTCTCTATCCAATGCAAATGCAATCTATCCAATGAAAACAAAAGGGCTCCTAATAATCAATCCTCTATTACACTTGGGAAAAAATTATATTATTCCACTTCATACAATCTGTTTATAGAATTGTTTCATATTAATAATATTTGCATAAATAAAATATATGCGTAAATTTTAAATAATTAAAGAATATAATGAATGAGTGATGAATATTATGTGTATAAATTAGTAATACTATAATATATTTTATCTGTACCATCAATCTTTAATTGAAAAGGTGACGCTTGTTGACCTAAACAAATAAAAATTATACTAAAACAATCAATCACTCATTGTGGTACCAGCTTTTTAAATGATAAGAAAGATTGCATTTCAATATTTTTTCATAAAACCATCTTTCAAAACAAATGAATTGATTTATACCAGATTTCAATAATAATAACTAAGAATATAAAACAATTTTATTGCATTTTCTAAAAATTCTCGATGTTTAATATTATAGCAAAGAAATGGTTAAGTATATAAAAAGACTCATAGAATTCCATATAGAATTCTATACCATAACTATAGCCTGTTTTTGTAGTTTTTGCAGCTTTAGTTCAAATGATTTTCTTTTCAGTTGTTTCCAAATTTTAATAGTCTGCCTGCGTCCCAGTCATTGGCTTCAAGTCGTCTTAAAACAATTTTTATGTCATCAAACCAATGTGAATTCGGACGTTCGACTATTCATTTTCCACTCTACTTACATTTCACTGATTAGGATTTTTGACATACAATAGAGAGCCAAAGCCAAATCTTGTAACGAAGCCTGAACCTCAGCATGTGTTCCTCAGCATGTAATACTTTTATTTGTAAAGTTTTTATTAGTTTGTGTAATTAATTATTGTAATGCGTATATTTAGAAGTAAGTTTGCCACTGCCGAAGACTCAGAAGTGAAGATTGATGGTGGCGTTAATATACCATTGTAATAGATAAAATTTCTTTTCTATCTAGTTACATATGTACATAAAAAATGTATAATGAATTAAACATAGAAATAAAAATTTCATTTTTTCTTAAATATCACACCTATATTAATAATTAATACTATTCTCTTCAGCAAGTATTGCAATTTTTTTGAAGCACTTTATCAGTTTTTAAAGTTTCATACATATAAAATGTTATCTATAATATCAATCAGAAAAACTTTACTTTTATTTTATGCCTTAATAATTATAGGATTAAATAGGATTTGTTGTAAGACATTTCACACAACAAAACTCAAATAAAAACTATTAGAACTTATAATACAAGTGTCTATGAATATGTACACATATTTATATATAGCAAAAGCTTGTGGTAACTCTAGTGGCAAGTGTATCTATCTATTTACGCAGATAAAGTAAATATTGATATACACCGCCTATTATGACAGCAAAAACAAAAAACAGTAACAAAAAATGTAAACAAAAATCATGTGTGTAAGTCATACACTGATAAAAATATTGATAAGTTGCATTGGTATGTACATGGCTACCCAGTAGCATTTTAAACAGAATTTCAAACCTAAATATTAAAGTATTTTTTCAATTAATTAACGAATACAATGTTCACATAATACAAAAACATTGTTAATTTTATCAAGTAAATTAGTTTAAACTAATTTGTTAACTAAAATTAATAAAAAGAGATTAAATATTAATTATACTCTTTTTAAGGCTACAATTTTAATGTTTCATTTCTTAAATTTTTTTACTAAAAATTTTGCTGGGATATTTTTACTCGCTTATATAAAGTAGAGTAGTGTTTGGTGCATTTTACTCCTGTTGTTTTTTTGTTTTATTTTTGCATATGCAAAAACAAATAAAAATACGAAATAGCAGCATTACAATAATATTACAAAATAAAACAAGAGCTACGAGTTACACGTCATTCATGCAAACTAGCGATATCAAAGATTAAACTTAAATTGCTTTTAGTAAATTAATAACGCTTTTAGACAAAATTCTACTAAGGGACTTTACGCGAGCTTAATATTGGTTTTATGCACTTAAAAATAATTTTTAAGAATCGTGTGAAAAGGATTATGTTGTGGTAAGTTGAATTTATATATATTATATGTTAAATTTTACATTATTTTTTATGCTGTTTTTTTAAAACTGTTTTTGTAGAAATTATTTAAATACTTTTTTTTTACTTTAAAAAATAAAAATCCTTTAACATGAATAATGCGATATATATATTTTTATACCTATATATTATATGGGCTGATCTTTTCACCCCTATTTAATTCAAATCAAAAGTTAAGCTAGTAGTTAACCGGATTCTTATTAATTTCAATCAGCCGATTTTCGCTAGCTAACCAATAATTTGTTAGAATCTTAATTTTTTTTCTAAGATATCATATGATTCTTGATTTTTTTTTACTTAATTCAAATTCAAAACTCATGTGAAAAATGTGCGAATACAAATTGAGCATTTTTACTTATTAATTATAAAAACAAAATTAAATAAAAACAAACAAAATTTAAAATAATTATAAAATTACAATGTAAACAAATTATATACACAAAACACTAAAATAAATTAAGTTAAATTCATAGAAACCTGGAACAAACATATACTAAATCATATTCTCGAATTAAATTTCAAAACATAATTGCAAAAACTGTTAAAATATTTGCTAATTGCTATATATGTGTGAGTTATGATATATGTTTTAACAAGTTTTGAAATAAATTTTAAAAGCATTTACATATAAAAATTAAAAGCACTTTAATGTTGCTATCAGCTGATAATTGACACAATTAACTTTAGCCTTATACCTTAAAAATAATTTTAAGGTATTAACGCATAAAAAGTAAGCATACTTTTAAAATTGCTGTCAGCTATTAGCTAAAACTTAAAAGCAACTTAAAAGTGTTTACATAAAACAATATTTGTTACTAAATTTGAGGAAAATTCTTTCGAAATTGCTAAAAATATTTTTAAATAACTATTATACGGGTATTTGTACTAGCCTCAAATCAAATTTAAGAGACGATTTCACAGCCTAAATTTGAGTCTGAAGATTGACTGAAGATTTACTAGTTTAAAATATTTATGCTTAATCAGTATTAACTTTTTAGCAACAAATAAGTTAAAAATTTTAAATTTTCAAAATATTCAGTTATATTTTCTTCACGTATTTCTAAACATTTTTGTGTATATATATACATATATATTTTGCATATTTTTAAAATATTTTGTTCTTACAATTCTGAAATTAGTGAAACATTTTTTCTGTAGTAGCTGAAAATTATTTGTCCACTTACATTTAGGTGCTTGGATAGAGAAAGTAGTGCTGTTGTTTTGCGTACATTTTTGCAACTTTAAGCGAGCAACTTGTTTTTTGACACACTTAAAAGCTGCCTAAAGCACCTATGGTAAGCTGAAAACATTAACTGTATACATAAATACATATATTTTAACATAATATCATTCAAATTGCAAATATTATATTTACTATTATACAAATTATAAAAAAGTAAAGATATAAGCACATTTTTTAAATATAAATAAATATATTATTACACTATTGTGCGTTATGAAAAGTTTTATCGCAAGCGCTACTATAAAATCTTCACGCTAACGCATATATGTGCATATGTTATTGAAATTTTGTGCAAAGTGATTTTTTGAGACTGGCAATACTTTTTGGAAATATAAGCACATTTTCGTTGTTGGTGGTCGGCAGCAATTGCTCGTGTTTGTTGGTCGTGCATGTCTTCGTGTATTATTAATATAGAAAATAAATTTAGTTATTGCAAACTTTAAATTAATTCCTTTATGTGTTCCAGTAATAAATAAACTCCGTTTTTATTAATACATTGTTTTTAAACTTTGTATATATGAACAGTGCTACTTAAAATAAAGAAAAAAACAAAATTCATTTGGATTCAGGTATACGTAAAACAACAATCTTATTTTATGTAAAATAAGTGAAAATTCGCCAATGACCAGGAAATATAGAATTAGCAAATTTTAACATAAGTCAGAGTGGGAAAGATATACGCTGGCTGTATTTGTGTGCAAGAGTGCGAGTAGTTAATTCAATTTATATTGAAAAAAAAAGTTGAATGACAGCCAAACATTTGGAGGAAAACAAACAATATTTTATAATAGGAAAGGCACAGTGAAAGGTAATTGCAATATATATTCAATAAAAATTATTATACTATATGCATTATTGAAAATTAATATACTTTGTAATAGTTGTAATTTTGTGTTTAGGCAGGTACTCTCACACCAAAAAGTGAAGTTGGGAAAGATATGGGTACACATGATTTGCTTTTAATTATTTTATTTTGTCTTAGTGCAAAACAAAAATAATACTGCTCAGGCAATTATGAAAAATTCATTGCAAAATATATAAATCTCAATGCTAAACGTGTTAAAGCTTTAATTAAAATATTTAATGCAATACACGTACATATATTAATTAATTTATAAAAAAAATGCCAGTCATTGCTTGGCATTAAAGTTAACTGTGTACCATTTTTTTAGCAGGTGAAAAGCACAGAATTGGGCATTTTCCACAATCACTGCCAAGCTACGCATTTAATGTCTCAGTTAACTTTTTATTATCATATCTCATATTTAGGTTGAATTATATTTTAATTATCTCACATACATAATACATACATTTAATGTGTTAATTTAATTTTTTGCCAGTTATTTGAAACACAGTATGCAACGCTTTTAGTGTATGTAGAATATCTGATTAAAAAAAAAATATTAAAATAATAAAACAAAAATATTTCATTCTTAAGTTTTATTTTTTACAAAAAGGTCTTGTAGATTTGTATAAAAAGTTTTATTGTTCGCAGAATTAAATTCCAAGTGTAAAAAATTAAATTTCGTTGAAACGAAAAACAATCAAAAATCAGTTGAAACGTGAAACCGATACATTCATGTATCCATTCGATTTAAAATTGTGATATAATATTTTGCATTTTAATGTTTTTTTTATTTATTTATTGTTTATTTATGTATTTAAAACATTTTTTTTTAGTTTCTGTTTCGATTCACGCAAAATTTAAAAATAGCCTTCAATTGTTTTTAATTGCGTTTAAGTCAATAAACTTTACTGTTTTTTTGCTTGTCTCGTACTTCAGTCGCTCGCAAACGTAAGTCGACCTTACAGCATTACATTCTGGTATGGTTTTTGTGCATTTCTGTTATAATAAATAAATAAATTTCAACATTATATACATATATATATATTTCTCTAGAGGTGTTGGCTAACGCAATTGGGAACAATTGAAGAGCAGATACAAAATAGTATAGCAGATACAAATGGTTAGTCACCCATGATTTTTCAAGGTATATTAAACTCTTACTTCATGGCAATGATAACATTTCTTAGTAAAATATTCAAGGTATACTATTTTGATTGCCATACATACATACATACATGCATATGTATTCACTTTTTCTAACTATTAAATGTCATTTTGTATGCATTGCTTCAATGATCTGCGCCAATCTTCCACTACATATCCATGCAACAGGTTTCAAGAGGTTTTATGTTGTAACCAGTCTTACTTTAACGGGAGTGTAGTTGTAGTAGCTAAGCGAAATGCTTACTTGCTGGTATTGTCTATATTGGGAGCCATGCGATAGATAAGTGGTTTTGAAATGTAGATCCATCGTTTAATGGCATAATTTCTTTTGGAAATAGTGAACGGCAGTTGGTCACTGAAAATGAAGAGTACACCTGGTAGTATAGACTCTTTTGGGAATGGTGAAGGTCACTTTGTCATCGAAATTGACGATCACAGAAAATGAAGAGTACACCCGGTGGTATACACCCTTTTAGGAACGGCACTTAGTCATCGAAAGTTATAGTTACTACGGGATGTAGAGCAAAAGGTGGTACAATTCCTTTTTGGAATAGTTTATAACATTTAGTTGTCGAAATTAACAAGTGGCTACGAGACGTAGAACAAGTGATGGTATAGTTCCTTTTGGGAATAGTGAATGACACTCTGTTGTCGAAATTAACAAGTGGCTACGGGACATAGAGCAAGTGATGGTATAGTTCCTTTTGGAAATTGACACTCAATCATCGAAATTGATTAATGGCTACGGGACTTTGAGCCAAACGGTGATTAGCACTATATTCCCCTTTAAGGAATGGTTGACGGCACTTGGTCATCGAAATTAACAAGTGGCTACAGGACGTTGAGCTTGTGATTGATGGTATAGTACCTTTTGGAAATGGTGAATGACACTTTGTCGTCGAAATTGATGAGTCACTACGATATGTAAAAGCGTTGAGAAATGTTGAACAGCACTTGGTGGTATAATACCTTTTGTGAATGGTGAACGGTTCTTGGTCATCGAAATTAGCAAGTGACTGCGGGACGTATACTCTACGGCTCGTTAAACCATGTAGATCGCATCGTTCATGTAACCAATGGAAGTAATGACCTTATCACAGACGGGCTGTCATTAGAATTATAATTTTTCTTTTATTTAGTTTAATATTAATTTTCTAGTAGTGACGTTAAAAACAACATGGTCAACACTTTATTACTTTTTGCGTTACTCTTCGAAAAACAGCAATCAGTCGTTAAACACGTAAATTGACGGCTTGATGTGGATTTTACACTAATTCTAAAGTATTTAAAATAAATATTTGTTAGTTTATAATAAGAAATAAATAGTAAGTTAAAAAGAAATAGTTAGTAATAGTAAGTTTCTACTGGCTTCGTTAGACCAGTTAACTTACTTGAGATTCAAAAAATTTTAAGTAAGTTGACTGGTCTAACGAAGTCAGTGAAAACATACTATAAGTCTGTAAGTTGTTTAAAAAACCCCGAGGCGACTTTTGCAGTGTTATATATTACTTTCTAACAAATAATTCTAAGTTTATTAATTTTAAGTTATGTATTTATATAGTGTAATTTATATTATAAAATTATATTATATACATTATGATACTAAACAGTTCGAGTAACTTGAATTCGAACATCTTTTATCTTCGAAAATTTTCGTTTTGTTTTAGACTTTAGAACGAAATTCATTGCGTGCTTTATTTCTGTAAACGAATTAAGCAAATCAGTTTTTATATTCTCAGAATAGTCTATTCACACGATAAGAGTGTTGAAAGCGGTTACAGATTCAAAATTGGCGTTTACTAAAATTTGTTTATTATAATAAACAAACATCTGTTCCAAGAAATTCTACCTGTAATTTCATAGGATTAAAACGGTATAGACGGTATACATACAGCCTGTGTCAAAATTCTGAAAATGCTACCTAAATACGAAGAACTACAAGGAAGAATAGCAAAAAACAGTTTTTGAGACCTGCTTTTGTTAAATAGATTTTAAAATAATATATACAAGGAGAAAGGTAATAACTTAGTACATTGTGCTAAATGCATTTAAACGTGATCATACCGCCATTTGTGAAACATCTCTCTCCGGACATTTATTTAATAAGGCTGTACGCATAAAATTACAAATAAAATCTACATTATAATATCAACTAAACAATGGATGATCAATGTGATGAAACTTTTTATGGTCACGAGGATAGTATATGGTAAAATATTTTTTATTTACATAAATAATTAGTTATTAAAAAAAACTATGAGCAAAATAAATACCACTTTTATTCACTGTGGTCCATAAAAACTTCCAGAGTTTAGAGATGTTTCAATGAAATTTTTACATTTATTCTATACTATGGATGGAACTTAAATTCATTACTAAACGTTCTAAATCAAATAACAATCAAAACCATTGACGTAGCCAGAGAACCGGGGTCGAAAACACGTGGAGAGCATTATATCAACCAGAAATATGGACGTCATAGTTTTTCTGTTGGTATAAACGTGGTATATCGACCATTTCAACGTTAGGTGTCATATATCATCAAGACAAAAATACACTTTTATAAAGACAACGCACGAAAGCCTCACGTGCATATCCGTTATAGAGAAATTCCATGAATTTCGCTACAAATTACTTTGACACCAGCATATTCATCAGTTCCAGCGACCAGTACCAAATTTGAAAAAATGTTTGACCATCTAATCGACGACAGTATCAAATTTTGTAAATAATATGGAAAAAATATAAGAGCTATTATTCGTAATGATATAACAGTCAGCCTAATTTTTAGCATCGGGTCTTGATTTATAAATTTTTATTATAGCATTTTATAAAGTGAACTTTTCTTTCTCTTTTTCTAATACATTGTTGTTGTTGCTGTTGAAAAATTTTGGTACATCTAGGGGAGTTTAACAACTAAAAAATTGATCGTCCACGGGGGTGTTTACAGGCTATAAAACTTATGTGTCTGTAATGAACTGCCATAAACAAACTATAACTCATCCTATATTATAAAATATGTATAATTTTATATCATTTTTGTCTGATGTCTTAAAATGTATAAACTTTAAATATTATATTCTTTTTAGGTATAACCGGATTTTGGAACTTATTTTTGAATTTATAACAGTCATCATTCCTACAAAAATTAAGAAAATAAGAGCAACTAAAAAAGCCGCGACTGAACCGCCAACCACATCTCGACAGAGTAAAATGCAACGACCAAGTTCCAATGGGACGACAGGGCAAAAGCACGCCAATCTCGATGACATATGGATTGATCTTGAGCAAGGTATTATACAGGTATTCCAGCCAGAGAAATCGTTGACAAAAAATCGTTATATGCAACTGTATACTTATGTCTATAATTATTGTACAAGCGTTAATTCATCATTGAATAATCGTAATACACACAAGTCGGGTGGGGCTCAATTGGTTGGTAAAAAGCTATACGATCGTCTTAAGGACTTTTTGAAGAATTACTTAAATGGCCTTCTACAAAATTTTGTATCTATAAAAGGTGAAGAGGTGCTTCTATCACACTATACAAAGCAATGGGTAGCGTATCAATTTTCGAGTACTGTACTGAATGGTATTTGTTCCTATCTAAATAGACATTGGGTAAAACGTGAGTGTGAGGAGGGGCAGAAAGGCATTTATGAAGTATATCGTTTAGCATTAGTTACGTGGAAAGAACATTTGTTTAAAGTGCTTAATGAGCCAGTCACTAATGCTGTTCTTAAGTCCATTGAAGAGGAACGTAACGGCAAAACTATTAATCGCGGTCTTATAAGAAGTATTATTAATTGTTATGTAGAGCTTGGATTTAATGAAGACGATGGGGGATTACCCCTTAAAGAACAAAGAGACAATAAACTCTCAGTATATAAAGACAATTTCGAAAAAAAATTTATACTCGAAACTACAGCTTATTACGAACAGGAATCAGATGTGTACCTTAGCACTAATTCAGTGACGGAATATATGAAGCATGTCGAACAACGTTTAGCTGAGGAGCGTCGCAGAGTTAATCGGGATGATTTCAATTGCTTGCTAACTTCATATTTGCATGAAAGTACCCATGATGATCTTGTAATTGCTTGCGAACAGGTCAGTATTAATTGCTAAGTATTAATTGTGTACAGCACATACAGCTATTTATTTCTTTCCAAATATATTCTAAAATATTGTATTAATTTTTTTATTTTAGGTGCTTATTGTAAAGCATTTGGATATATTCCGCTCTGAGTTTCAAAATTTGCTAAACACTGATAAAAACGATGATTTAAAACGCATGTATTCATTAGTAGCAAGAACTCCCAAAAACCTAACCGAACTTAAGTCAATATTAGAAGAGCACATTTTACAGCAGGGTATTCAAGCCATTGAAAAATGTGGCAATAATGAAGCTGCAAACGATCCAAAAGTGTATGTACAAGCAATACTTGAGGTGCACAAAAAGTTTAATGCACTCGTTTTAACTGCTTTCAATAATGACAATGGATTTGTAGCAGCACTGGACAAAGCTTGCGGTAAATTCATAAATTCAAATGTGGTAACTCAAGCTAACAGTGCCAGTAAATCGCCAGAACTGCTTGCCAGATATTGTGACTTGTTACTTAAAAAGTCATCGAAAAATCCTGAAGAAAAAGAATTAGAAGATAATCTTAATCAGGTTATGGTTATTTTCAAATATATTGAAGACAAGGATGTTTTCCAGAAGTTTTACTCAAAAATGCTTGCCAAACGTCTTGTTAATCATACATCTGCATCAGATGATGCAGAGGCAATTATGATCTCCAAATTGAAACAAGCTTGTGGTTATGAATATACCATAAAATTGCAGCGTATGTTCCAAGATATTGGTCTATCTAAAGACTTAAACAATAATTTTAAGGAGCAACTACGTAAGACACAGATTTTGCAAGAAATAGACTTTAGTATTGAAGTGCTGTCATCTGGATCATGGCCATTTAATCAAGGGAGCAGCTTTTCATTACCCACCGAATTGGAGAGTTCGGTTAAACATTTTAACGAGTTTTACGCAACAAGGCATTCTGGACGTAAATTAAACTGGTTGTATCATATGTGCAAGGGAGAATTAGTAACGAATTGTTTTCGCAATAAATACACTCTGCAAGCAAGCACATTTCAGATGGCAGTTTTATTACAATTCAATGATCAGACAAAGTTTTCTGTACAGCAATTAGCCGAAAATACTCAAATTCAAATGGATAATTTAGTGCAGGTGCGTACCTAGTAAACAATTATTATAGTAATTTTTTTTTATTAAAAACTTTTTGTTTTGCTTTTGCTTTTACTGCGGTAGGTTCTACAAATATTGCTTAAAGTAAAACTGCTAACCTCTCCAGATGATGAAAATTCCCTCACACCAAATTCAATGATGGAGCTGTTCTTAGATTATAAAAACAAAAAACTGCGTATAAATATTAATCAACCGCTAAAGACTGAGCTTAAGGTCGAACAGGAGGCCGTACATAAGCACATCGAAGAGGATCGCAAGCTTCTCATTCAAGCTGCTATTGTTCGAATAATGAAAATGCGTAAAAAACTCAATCACACGCAGCTCATCACTGAAGTACTAAACCAACTGTCATCACGTTTTAAGCCTAAAGTGCCAGTTATTAAAAAGTGCATTGATATTCTTATTGAAAAGGAATACTTGGAGAGAATGGAGGGTCAAAAGGACACATACAGTTATTTGGCGTAAAATATATGAACGAGACTGTGAATAGATATTTAGCATAAAATTCAAGAATAAGTTTAGAAGTGTTTGCAGTATGTATGTAAAATTAAAAGAAAAATATATTTATTATTAACCTTAAATAAAACATATATATATATATATACCTATATATATACATTATATACGACAAATTTCCAGCGCAATGTTAAACATATTTCATAATAATTTATTGATGCAAACAACTTCATAAACACATACATGATTGTTCTAAGCTTCACCTACATATATTTTTAGGCTCTTTGTAATTTAATTGAACATTTAGTATACTACATGAATATTATTTACAAAAAATTGTTTGATTAAAAACTTTATTTTACTATGTTTTTTCCCAATGCATCCAAATAATTAAAACAAAAAACGAAAAAACAAATAAAAAGGTAAAATAGAAAAATAAATTGAATAGTTTTTGTGTTAAGCATGCATTAAAATCAAAATAAAATTTAATGGAAATTGTTTACAAAATTAAAATTGAATATAGTTTATGTGTTAAAAACAACAAAAAAAAATATTTTTTTCCAAAAGCTTAAGTGTTGACTTGTTGATAAAAGCCCAAGATATAAACTGAACGTTCACAATAATGTTTTCTTATACTAAGTAATTATTGCACCAATCTAGACATATGGAACACAGTTGTGAGGCACAACTAGTCACTTTTGTTTTTTAATTAGATCATTTTCATTAAAGCCTAACAATAAGTTTCAGAATCTTAAAAAGGAACATTACAAATTAATTATTTATTATTATTTGTAAATTATTTTAAATAGGATAATCTTCAGGAGAGCAGGACGGCAGGTCTATTATTCCGTTTCAGACTAAAGGAATTTATCAAATTAGCAAGAATTGTAGCCAGTGGATTCACACGGTTTTCGAGGCTTGAAACATATATCTGCCTTACTCTCGAACTCGACTCTAACAATCGGAAGTTCCAAATCGAAATGTATGTTTTCATTTCAGATATACCAGGGTGCATCAGCTATCATTCTTAGAATCTTAGCTTGAACTCTTTGCAGAATTTCTACGCTTGGCGAACAGACATTACCATCTAGGTGTAAGTCATACATCCAGATTGCATTAATGATTTGGTTGTATAACAATATTTTATACTCTAAACATGAGACTGATGCCCGTTTAGTCAGCGAAGGCTTATAGCCTTCAGCTTTATTTGAATCCTGTTTGTTTCGATATGGTTTCATGAAGTTAAGCGTTTGTCAAGGTGAATACCAAGATACGATTTTAATTCGCCATAAAAAACCATCTTTTTACGAATCACAAATGATTTTGCAGTTGACTAGAAGCAATTATGATATTTTTATATCCTCACAAAATAACTGTATCGTCAACAAATGTTGATGTTACTAAATTGATATTAGTGAAGAAATCCGACGTAAAGATGAGGTACAAGAATGGAACAAGAACGCTGCCTTGAGGAACACCTGCACTTATTGGGACGGCTTTAGTTGTGTGCGACCTGTATCTTACTCTGAAAGATCTGTATACCAAGTACGATTCAAGTACTGCATGTGAGTTTTGCTGGAGTATCTGTCGTATTTCGTGGATCAGGCCCTCACCTGTATCTTACTCCGAAAGATCTGTATACCAAGTACGATTCAAGTACTGCATGTGAGTTTTGTCGGAGTATCTGTCGTATTTCGTGGATCAGGCCCTCACTGATGTAGAAATTCTGCAACGATTTCAATCTAACACGCAAATCCGCTAAAGTGCCACTAAACAATGTATGCATAAATATCTGGATGTCCTTTGTATACTGGACAAACTGAAACAAAGGATATTTGAAGACTTAAGAAGCGATACATCTTTTTCAATCATCGTATAGGATACTAGTTGGGACTATGACTCAGAATTCACTTCGTGATAGGTTTTTAGAAAATTTCAGTATATTTTTTATCTTATTTACAAGTCATGATACATTTATAATGAATATATTCTTTCAATTAATTTTTGTGTGTGATACTAACAAATGGACGTAATATATAATCTGAGTACTAATAAGCTGAATTTATTGCTAGACATATTGTTTACTTTTTTTTTGGTTTCGAACTCTGAAAAAAATTTTTAAATATACAAATGGACCGAATCATTTGCATGCCCGATTCCATAGTTACATAAATCTATGGAATACAAAGATTCTATCTTCTCAGCATAGAAGCCAGAAAATCTGTGTAATATAACCAATAAATAAAGCTATTAATTGAGGCATGTAATTTACCTAAACACTTTTCCTGCGTTTCTCCGGTTGAGAACTATAGATGTCAATAGCTTTAGAAATGTTTATTAGTGCAGATATAATGATATTTTAAAAATATTACTCTTCACTACTCAATGCCATTTATTTCACTATGAAAGAAGAACATAGCTTCACCGATTAGAGTTTCTAGAGTTTATCAAGTATCTACAACTCTTATATACTTCCTAATTATTTGGTCTATTCTGAATTTCATCTAAACGAAAATGGTAGTCGGGAATGACTTTTAATATATAAACAATATCTTCATTAAACATTTAAATTATACTACATACATATATGATTCATTATAAATATATTTCTATTTATATATTCTGTTTATAACCATTGAACCCATTAAAATCTGATTTAAATATGGTTTTATGTAATGTTTATAAAATCTATTAAAACTTTAGTCAGGGTTTACAAACTAAAGACAAAAAGTGCATATCTACATTCAATGCATTATTCAGTTTAATTATAAAAAACTTGTTCCAAAAAAAATTTATAAACATGTTTTCAATATATTTGAATATAGTGTTATAAGATTATATCAGTATTATTATGTTGAGGCTAGTTGAGTCAGTGCACCTAAGCACTTTTAGTCTCTGTTAGGTTTCTCTGCGAGGTTTCTTCAAAATCCCTCTTTGCGCCTTGACTAGATTATTGTTTATCACTTCATCAGACTAAGCAATAATATAATTTGTATGACATGTTGGTATCAAAACAGATGAGCGAAGTCATGCGTAGAAGATCTTCGGTTAAAGCACATAGTGTGCACCGCCATATATATGCGTGACAGGTAACTGTCCGAAAAGATTTTAGACAAAGACCTGTAGAAAATACTGTAGTGAACGTTTGGAATATATTTCCTTGGTATGAAGTAAAAAAAGTCCTCGACAATATTAGAAGTAACTATAATGGCATTCGAATGTCCATTTGTGTTACACGAGAAAACAAAATCTTTTGGAAATACTTTCTTATACTTTTTGGACTCCGCATTAGGCTGGTAAAGTTATTACTTGCTACGCCATCTGCTGTGTGTAAATATGTTTTGTCAAGACTGCAGTTTATTTCAGTACATCTTGTAGAACTGTGGTGTCCATACCGAAGTGATTTAAACCGTCATTAATTGATGTGTTCCAGGAGCAGTATGCAAACTTTTTCAGCGCGCTGGTACACATTTTCAGTCCATTGCAAGAAACAGTGTTCTGTGCGAAGAACGAACTCAAGCTATCTATAACTATAGATATTACTTATTACTTGTCTTACTACCCTCATGAGTTATTAACGTTGCTTAAAGCACAATAATTATTATATTTCTGGGACACCCTGATTTATCACGAAATTCTAATATAGACACCTAATGTTAGCAATTTTTTCAACTAAGTCGATGTCTTAAATTGGTATATGCAATTTTTACATCAAAATACAAACTATATGGAATGTTGATGGTTTTTATGTGTTCATTCCCACAAATAAACCTTGATATCTGAAGAACTTAACGCAAATTGGTATATATACCAATTGTATATATACAATTTTTATATTGATAACATAAACGAACTATTTGGCGTGTCTATTTGAAGAACTAAGCTATATTGTCATATGGAGTAGTAAAAAAATTACTTGAAAGAAGCGATTTTATTTTAATTCCTAGACAAATCGGGGCACCCCAGAGAGAGAAATCGTGTTTTAATGTATACTCATCTTTTACATACATAATTTATTGGTACTTTGGAATACTTAAACACTGTGTTTAAGAGCTTGAATTATATAAAGTGATATAACTTTGACTCATTTTTAAACAAACCAGCTAAATTTATAAATAATGTTACTACAAACTATCTCTGAAATCGGCGATGATAAATCAAATTAATAAAATCTATTGTCATCTTCTTGGATAAACTTTTCGCAAAAATTGTTATTACTGTGTGTTGACCGTAGTATATTTTTAATTACTTATATATTTTAAAAATACTTTAAATCTTTTTTATTGTACTATAATTATTGATAAAAAAAAATCATTTATTACCGACAGTTGCGGTGTTAGGTGTTAGGAACTTTAGGAACATATATCTTAAAGCCTTAACTACACTTACCAGATACTTAAAAAAAATGATTTTGTGTGTCTCTTATCGATAAATGGTATCTAATCGACGGTATAAAGTAACTTATCCGGTATATTAAAGTATATAATTTAGAGGAAGTGTATTTGAATGTCTATATAGTATCCAGAATCATACTCACAGTTTCAGTCACTAAAGCTCCTGCTGAAATAAGCTTCTTAAAGTTAAAATTGATTAAAAGTGAGCGAGACAATCTGTATTAGGAATTATATCAGTTGAAATAACAGCTGGTGTGAATTATAGCATAATTTTAAGAAAACTCAGTGGGTGTAAAAATAGGATTTTTGGAATTTAGGAATTTGATTAAGAATAAAACTTTCATATATGGTTTGTCTTCTTAAAGGTTCCTCGTAATTCTGATGTCGTCGACGTCTAGAATTGGTCTACCTCCGCCACTGATTACCAAAAAATATAGTAACAGAATGCATCATCTGATTATTGGCAAAGAGAACAACAGAGCGTATTTTAAGTATCTATTAAATTATAAAAATCCATAAGAACGATTATGGTTAGCCGGATTTGTGTGAGCACAGGTGTAAAGATTATGTTTATCTGTAAGGTTTGTAAATATTGTTTATTAAAGATAATATTTTGGTGCGGTTACTTATTAATATGTGGGTAAACACAGATAGCAGAATGAGTTCAGACATTTTTATCTGCAATCACCAAGTAGTAATAAAAGTAATATTTCTAACATTTACTTTAAACAAATATTTAATTTAAGATAATAAAATATAAATTAACTTTATTAATTAACTTAATTTAAAATCAAATGTTGATAAGTAAAATTTAATATTTATAAATAATATATAGTTTATTCTATATATAGGGTATTTAGTATATAGGGTATTCTTCTATTTTAAGTTCATACTGCTATATTGTGTAGTTAATCTATTTAAGAACAATTTTTTACTTTTTATAAATTTACATATAAGATATGTTATTTTCTTTTCATCTGCTAATAGAGGTAATAAAAAACTATTATAAATTAGATTTTATTTCTAACGTTTTATTATAGACATTGAAACGTAGATACTTTACTGCATATTTGACGCTAATCAAGTATAATTGAGGTTATATACCATCACACTACACACTTTATTTGCTTCAAAATATAAATCGACTTAGTGATGTTAAAGATTGACATTAGATTAAGCTATTTTTAATTTCCTAAAGTTTATGAACTTAATCTGGAAGGTCTTTGTTTCCAAAACAATCATATCACTTGTTATATCCCAAGAGATCGACTTAAGCCTATTGAGTTATCATATAATAAGAAACTCAAAGGTTAGAACTACTTAGAACTTAGAAGGTCTTTGTTTCCAATACAATCATATCACTTGTTATATCCTAAGGGATCGACTGTTACCATATAATGAGAAACTCAAAGGTTAGAACTACTTAGAACTTAGAACACATCTGGACAAAAAATGCGATGATATACAAGCATCTGTATACAATTTGGCCACGCTCCAATAAATGAAAATTAAACTCTCTAATTGAGATGCCTCGTAAAGAAATCAGTCTTATAGTAAGTTTACTTACAGATCATTATATTTTAGGTAAATTTCCATTTTAACAATACCTGCCGCAGTTATGGAGAGGACGATGAAAGTGCCCTATCCGTTTGATACCACTTCAAATCATTGAAAAAGTAGTTAAAAACTGAATCTGCATGATATACTTTGTTAAACAGTCCCGCAATGACCTTTTCATTAAGAATGTAATAATATTAATATAAAAAATTATCTCATTTCTTTAATTTGTTATATTTTAATTTCAGTTCTACTTTTCTTGAAAAAACACTCTTTAAGTCATCTTAAATCCAAGACAGTTGGATTCTATTAAAAGTCATACTTCCAAAAAAATTGCCCATATCTCCGGTTTACTTAGGATTCATTTTGCTATTAACCAAATAGTTGTATCCTTTAAGAATCAATCTCACACTTATGGAAGAAAAGCATTTATAGGCACAATCTACATGATATTACATCTACTCATCGATATTCTGTATTGCTTTTAAGAGATAGCTATCACAAGCTAATTTGTATAATCAGTTTAAATATTATATAAGTTCCCGTTAAGAAAATATAATGCTTGAAATACCATTCCAAATTATAGTAGATATAGTACACAAGAAGCTATTTGATGTAAGTATAACTAAATTTCTGAAGATATATAGCATAACTAAATGTAGTAACATTTATTTTTTTTATGTATCCGGTTGACAATGAAAGGATTCCTAATCAAAGAAATCTTAAAGACGTGAAGACATACCTGAAAACGTATCGATCGAAGATCGCTAAAGATATTTTTGGATAAAGGAGTATATGTCTTTAATTACATTTTATGTACGTATCTTGAAATCTAGATGTTGTCATGTCCTCCACAGGGTTGGTGCTCATGTATAAATGGGGTGGCGTAGTAGTATTGCTCTTTGTTGTATTATTTTTAGTCTCAGTGAACTATATCCATAGTATACTTTGTTTGTGTAAATGTTTAGTGAAGCAGACGCTGTCTTGAAATAGCTTTGAAGATGTCAATAATTTGAAAAACTGGGTATTAAATCAGTTTATTATTTATTTATGGAAATTTTCCTGAACACATGAAACTCTTTTGAAAAAAAAATTGTTATTAATCCTTTGGAGCTTCAGTATTTAAACTTTTACCGGTCATTGTCAAAGAAAGGCGGATAGCAAATTTGAGCTCAGTAGCCTTAAATGAACTAAAAAGAACTCGAGAAATAGAATTAAGTGTGACATGTTATTTATCTGCACATTTATTTATCTGCTTGCCTCTCTGAGGGTCAGGAGGTCGAACTTTTGCTGTTGTTGTATTTACTACTAACTGCTAAAAGATTGGAAATATTTGTGAGTTTATTGATAACCATTAAAATAATGGTAAGTAATTATTTTATAATTCATTTAATTTCAAACTAAAGCTTTAATAAGAAGTGCATAAAAATCATTTCCGCTCTTCAAAATCTAGCCATATGCCACCGTTTAGATATGCCATGAAATATATTTCATCCAAATAATTATCTTTGCGTGTCTTCGGATTAAGCTTTATATTGAAATTACGTACAATTTCAACAATTGCAGCTTTCATTTGAGTGAGTGCAAAACGCATGCCTACATAATTTGTAAATAAATATATAAGTAATATCATAAATTAAAATAAAATAGTTATAGTTACCGGGGCATACTCTGGGACCATCTCCAAATCCGAGATAAACACCCATTTCACGATATTTCTTTACACCACCATTTTCCTCTAAAAATCGTTCTGGTTTAATTTCTTCTGGATCCTCATAGTATTCAGCATCATGATGTATAGCGTGTATAGGCACTAGAATGACTTCACCTGGATGAACCTTGACGGTGTTGCCATTTTTATTGACGAATTCATATGTTTCTGTGCACAGTTTACGTGCAACTAATTGTGGTGGGAATAAGCGTAAAGCCTCTATGGATAAAAAATATTAACAAATTAAATAAAATTTCGAATACTTCTTTAGTACGATAACTTCATAATTACGAACCATGTACGCAGGCATCCAGATAAGGTAATTCACTTAATTTTTCAAAACTGAGTTCTTCATTACCGATCTCAGTCCGTAGCTTCTCTTGAGTTCTTGGTTCACGTGCAAGCTTAAATAATTAAAGCAATTCAATTAATTTTTTAAATATGAAATATTATATATGAAAATACCAAAAGTAAAGTATGTGCCAACACTGCAGAGGTGGTCTCGAATCCATCAGTCAAAAACGTCATCGTGTGAGATATAAGTTCTATGTTCGTTAAATTTTTCTTCTCTTGCAATTGAAGCACATAGTTCAGATAATCCAAGCGTGTAGTATCTCTAGCTTTGCGTTTAATGTCGATGGAGGTACTCATTAAATCGAAGAAGAAGTTTTCAACATCCTTGGTGAAAAATCTTGCTGTGTAGATTTTACGTATTTGCGGTATTAGATTCGCAATTACAGTATACAAAATAAAAAAGGTGGATTGTTTAAAGACTTTCAATGTCATATCGAAAATCGGAGTAGGATTGTTTGAGAAGCTGTTGGCTTTTATTCCAAGTACACAGTCCGAAACGACCTCAGTAGTATAGCGTAAACATAACTGTATGATAATAGATTTTTAAATTGAATTTAAATAATTTTAAATAATCACTCTGCGTCATACCTGTTTGGTTTCCAATCCATCTCTTGATGCCATTTTTATTTGATTTCTGATATAATCTGACAACGTGTTGCAAACTTTTAATGTAACTGGGTAAACAGCACTCACCTATTTTGCAGTTATTTAAATGATAATCGCATAAATTAAAGAAATAATAAAAAATTAAATTAGTTTTATTGAAAAGCCAAAGTGCTCGCTGCTCTCTATACATGAGAGCATGAGTACAATATTTGTTTGATAACCTTTTCTGTATCATATAAAGGAATTTTAATTCTGGGTCATTTTTAATTATCAATTAAATAAAGAAATAGGCAATTAATTATTGTAAGTATTAAATTTGAAACTTAAATATATTTGAATTTTATTCTAGTTTTTTTACTTACACGATTCGCTGTCAGACCCGGTGTTATTTCAGCACGTCTTTCCTTCCATTCCTCGCCAGTGAGGAAGAAAATATTATTGGCGAGTATAACATCGTTATTTTTATCCACCTTACAATAAAAATAAAGCAAATATATAAATATGCTAATATAATTAATTAATTACAAAATTAACTTACAAAATTAGCAAACTCATTGTCGTGAAAATTTCTGAAATCGTTGACGAATATCTTATGTGCGTATTCGGGGTTCACTATTAGTAACTGAGGTGTGCGAGCATTGTATACTCCAACAAAATTCTCATCTTGTTTGTATTTTCTATTATTGATAAAATTAGTATTGAAAATAATTAAACAATTATTTAATATAACATTATTACGAACGTACTGATATAAATCATTCACATCGTATACAACATGACGTTTCTGCGTAAATTGACTGGGAAAACTACCTACAAATGGGTATGACTTTCCCTCTTTGACACCCAATTTTTTCCAATAACCAAAGTTCCATACTAGAAACTTATAAAATAAACCAGCGACCAGTGCTAGAAGCACAAAAGTAGTAAAAAACGGACACATTTCTATATATGACTTGCGTCCTCCTTTCTTTGTCCGATACTAAACTCAACTAAACACAAAAGTTTCGAATTCGAGAGCACTTTTGCTACTTGTAGGCTCTATCTAGACTAATTGAAATCAATGCAACATAAACATTTCCATTCGCTTTATTATTTATTAATTGAGCAGCCGAAGTCCCGCACTGTCTAAAACCATAGAGCAGACATTTAAATAAATTGTGCTTTGATCATTTATTATTGTTTTTTTTTGCCGGTTCTTAAGTGGCATATGGGTGCTCAAGGTTAGATAACAAAATATTTATAATTAAAAAAGAAAAATTTAAAAAAATATTTTCGATCACTCTTATCGACAAACCCCTCTTCTAAACTTATCATTTTGCAGTACATCACTGAAGTACTCAGTACACAGTGCGTCTCTTAACTCGAATATCAGTATAATTTTCAGTTTGTCGTAGTTATTTTTCAGTTTTGATTGCTCTATTACACCCTACACACTTTTGTGAAAATAGTATATTAAATTTTATTTGGAGCGAAAAGAAAGAGTTCTAGAATATCGTACTAAGTACACATTGTTTATGTTCAAAAAGTAACCGTAATTTGCACATTGAATAACAACTACTTGAGATGTACCTATGCAAAACTTTTCCATACTGATAGCTCTATTAACTGTTTATACGCAAATTCTTAAAGTAATCCGTTTTGTAAGTTAGTTTGCCGGAAACTTGAAAATAATCTAGATCTTTCTGCGCAAATCTCACAAATCTGCGTTTTGTGATTTTTATGATGTCATATCTGGTGGACCAAACTCTCTACAATCATGTGATTAAATGCTATGTGAATAGTATCTTATAATCCAGACATGTATGACTTTTATCGATTTCCTAAACCTAAACACTTTCCACGCCTCTTAAATCATTACAGTTAATGATTACGAAAAAGCGATTGAAAGAAAGATTAAGAATCAGAGATTGACAGCAATATTGAAACGTGATCAAAAGAAAATATCTTGAAGATTGGATTACACAAAATAATATACTCACCTCTTATGGAAACCAGAACTAATATTCAAGAATTAACTAAGTCAGAAGCGGGAGGGAATAACTTAACATTCTGAACTGGTCTTAAATTGACAAAACTTCATGTTTATCATCATTGATAATCAACATCATGATTATTATTGATTGAAAACAAAAATGCGATTTGTCTACTTCATTTTGTGCCAATATCCTTGTGCTTATTAATTTATCTTACTAAGACCTTTCATTTCTCTAACGAAACAATCAATAAGACGTGTTTTTGGTAATCATCTGTGTGTTGAATAAGCTCGATCATCTTATACTGATATCTACGTATTATCAGTTTCTCTTACTAAGTGCTTCCATGTCTTCATCAAAACAATCAATAAGACTTGGTTATCATTGTTATCATCTGTGAGTTGAATGCACATCATGTTGCACAGATATCTTCATCTTACCAGTTTCTCTTACTAAGCGGTTTCATGTCTTCACCGAAGTAATCAAAAAGACGTCAAGTTTTGATCAACTTTTGTGTCTGGAATGTGCAAAGCTTTGCACAAAAATATTTTCCTAAGATCATATACAAAACCGTAAAATCCTTTTCCTAACATTTTTTCTCTCATTTTTCTCAGAATGCGGAATAGATTTTGACATCCTCTACAATATTGTAGCAATCCATTCTGTTTGTGGCTTTGTAGTTTCTGTAGGTAGGAGAAACAGCAAGAGATATATCTATACAATAAGATTTTTTTTCATCTGATATGATATGTCTGATAAACGCTAGGTCGTACTTAAAAATATTTTTCTGGGTCCGTACAAAAATCTATAAATTTGTTTTTTTTAAGAATCGTAATATTTTTATTTGATAATTCTTATGAAACCTTTCTTGTAGGTTTTTATTTTACTAAACATTAACTCATCATTAAACTCGTGTTATATTGAGTTTTAAAAAAAGAAAATATGTAGTCATACTAATATCATGTTTCCACTGCAGCTAAAACTACTTATGTTTATAAAATTCAGATTTAGTCGTTTCCATTGACATAAGCTAATTTATGCATGTGAAATAGCTCGTTTATTTATATTTTTCATATAAAATATATAACAAATATTTAAAATTTTAGTAATTGTTCTTATTAAAATTTATTTTTAATGGTTGCTATTGAAATTATTTGCTTTGAATCAGTTATTTATAATAAGTTCATTTGGATAAAAGCTCTGTATTGTAAATTATCCTCATTAGCAAACTTTATGAGTAAAACTGTCTAAATAAGATAGTGGAAACATGGTATAAATCAATTTAATAAAATTATTAATTAATTAATTTAAAATAAATTATTTAGAATGAAATGTATGAGAATTTAAAAATTTTAGTTATTAAGGTATGTTAGATAACTTAGAAGATGATTATTTTCACAATTTAAAATTTCATTTATTTTATTTGATTAATTTATACAAAACATTTTCTATTAATTATACTTTTTTCTATACTTATTAACTTAAAATGTATGATTATAAGTTATATACTTTTTTCGATATCCAGTTTAAACGGCATTGTTTTAACGGTCCATCTGCGGTGTACAGATCGCACCAGTTTTACTCTTTCACACCCATTCTTTCTTAGTACTACACACTTTCTCCATGCTTTCTATACGTAAAATCAAACATTCTGAACACTGACCGCAAATTTTAACCAGTCAATATTTTGTATTTTTAAGTTTGCAAAAAAAATCACCAATATCCTTAAATTTAAACATCACAATTTAAATCTCTTGTATATAGATATACCACTACTTGCATCAGCCCTCTCTTTTAGTACCACACACTTTCTCTATGCTATCAGACACCTAATTATTTTCTATATTCGAACCAAACATCTTCAGATGAAAAATTGTCATATCTGAAATTTATAGAACGTTTACGTATGAATATGACTCATTTTTGACATTGAAAATGCTTTTCTTAATTGACTTATTTATCTAAATGGTTGGTTCATATTTTAGTTTAAGCAAATATGTTCAAGAATTACCATAAAAGTACTTCTGCTATCAACATGTCTGTAATAATGAGGAATACTTTCCTTCAACTTTCAAACATCCTTTTCTACAAGCCGAACTAAGGGGACATCTCTAGAATTTAAAAACAGCAGCCTGGGATAATTCTATCTTTCACAAAACTTTATGAAGATAAGTGAATAAAAAAACAGGATTTTCTACAGCACGCATTGTATATGTTTGGTTGATCGGTTCTGGACTTCTTTTTAGAGTTCAAATTTTTTTTTTAAGCTTAAAAATGTATCAAGAAGTTAGTTTTAAAACTCCAGCTTTACTAAACATTTGAGTAGTCTAGTAACAATAATATATGTCCATATGGCTATTGTAAAGTTTATCAATAACTGTGTCCGTGCTATATTTACTTCGGAGATAACACAATAGATCTTTCAGGTGGGAATGTTTCATTGTCTCTTTAGATAATAATAAATATTACCTTATCTTACAATATTTATATATGATATTAATTTATAATATATGTAATTAAAATATATTGATATATAATATGTATTTATATATGATATATTTTACCATATAAAATTATTTAAATTGGTAATCGGTTTACTTTGCGCTCTATTATTGTCTCTTCTTATAATTATTATTTTATAATATAATATCTATAATACAAATGATGAACGAATACAAATGATGTCAGTCTGGAGATCAGACGAAGAATCATCATTGCTAATAGGTGCTACTATGGGCTCAGTAGGCAATTGGGATGTAGAGCTCTCTCTCGACAAACTAAACTTATGCTCTATAGGTCGCTCATCCGCCCTGTGCTTCTGTATGGCGCAGAAGCATGGACGTTATCACAGAATGATGAAGCAGCACTGGGAGTGTTCGAGAGAAAAGTTATTCGTAAGATCTTTGGTCCTCTACGAGTTGGCGACGACTACCGCATTAGAATGAACCACGAGCTGTACGAGCTTTATCACGACATTGACGTAATTCAGCGCATCAACATCCAGCGGCTTCGCTGGCTTGGTCATGTCGTGAGAATGGATGAAGACGCTCCGGCGAAAAAGGTGTTTGAAGCAGTAGTTGGCGGAAGAAGACGTAGAGGTAGACCGTGTCTCCGGTGGAATGATCAAGTTGAGGGAGCACTAACTGGACTTGATATACGAGACTGGAGAAGGCGCGCACGCAGCAGAGGCGCCTGAGGAGACATGCTGCGTCAGGCCGAAACTCGGTAACGGGTTGTTATGGCCACATAAGTAAGTAAGTAAGTATAATATCTATAATTATTTATTGTCCCCTCTAATACTGATAATTATTACTTTACAATATAAATGTTCAGACTCAAAAAACGAAAAAGCTCACTGAGAAAAAAAAAACAGCAGAACGCTCTGTGTTAATTGAGAAAGGTCCCAACGCATTGCGTGTAGTATCTAATGTAACCATAAGGGACGCAGAATTTAGACGATAATTAGTCTTTCTCTGATATTAAAAAATTTATATTAAGATCTTACAAAAATAGTGTGGTGTTAAAGACATACTTTGAACCTAGTAGAATTCAATAAATTAATTATTTTCATATTTAATGTGTATTTATTTCAATTTATTTATTTATTGTAACATTACGTAGTACATGCTTCATTCATAAATTCATAAATGGCACTATTCTATTAATATAAATCTTTTCCTTGAGGTAACTATGATAACAATATGTTAAATGCTTTATTATTACATTCGATACTATCAAAAATATGCTGTGACATTTCTCAATTACCATAAAGCGTCCAGGAAGTTTCCACAAATGCAATAACAAGATTCGTGACATAACACCAGTTTCGCGTTGTGATTATTTTTAAAGAGCCACATCGCGTTCTGTACGTTTGTATGGTTCCGGTTTTTTAGAACCGATTAGGTTTCTTCAACAGTATAATACATTACTTCTAATAATAATAATAATGATTACTTTAATCATATAATTATATCATATAGTTATTATATATAATATAAGGTTATAAAATATAATATATTATATAATATAATATGGTAGAGAGGTTTCGAAAAGTAATGAACTACAATATCTTTTTA